GCGCCGTGGCGGAGCTCGGCGGTGATTTCAGCCTGTTCCGCAGTTTCGAATTCCACTAGGCCGTAGTCTTGCGGACTGCCTTGTTTGAGGGCAATCTGCATTGCAAAGCGACCATGGGGTATAATAGGAGAAGAAGAAGAAGGGAGAAAAAAAAAAGAAATCGTGATGTTGATGATGATTTTCGCGTCCTCTCCATACATTCATTGAATCCATCAATAATTCATGGCTTTCCCAAAGCTGTCGCCGCGTGATGCATTCGATGCGTTGCTCTAGAAATTATCGCCCCCTTTTTTTTCTTTTCCCGTCCTCGCAACCCATTCTAAAAGCTATACTGTACAGTATAACCGGACTCTGCCTTTTAGCTTGACTTTCCTCTGAGTAAGATGTAAGATTATGCGTTGAGCCGTATTATCATAAGCAGGGAGGCATGTGAAATAACAATGCGTCGGCAGACATTACTTTTTCATTGCACACGATCATCAATTCTCTTTCCTTCGTGATATGAAATTTCTACTTGACAAATACGGATGCTTTTTCAAGCATTCAACCAGCGTCTGTCGCTCCAATTCAAATCGATATCATCCGTTAGCTTCGACATCCTGCAGATTTACTTCGTGCATGATAATTTATGACAACTTCCCATAAAATGAAAACCTGCCGGCAAACCAAAAAGCTTGGGAATATCTACACATTAAAAATATTGTGTCAAGGTAGATTTATAAATAAAAACAAAAAATGCTTGCCGTCTTTATCCTCGGGCGATGTGAAAATTCATACCGCAGATTTTTGAAAATTAAAGAAAATTGTATTCATAAACCAATACAGGTATTGGTCCTTAATTCTTGCATACTGAGGTGGACTCTACCTAAAAGGTATCTCTAAACGCAGGAGAATACTTCGGAATACAGAAAATATTATTGTAGACGAAGTGCAAACAAGTGTAGAGAATAATGGTTAAAATGACCAGAAAACAATCCGTTGCATCGAGAATTTTACTGAAATAAATCATTGCGCATAAAGTCAACCTGCATTCGATTCAAATTTACACACACAAAAAACGCATGATTCCGCAGGATCATCAAATTCAAACAGAATTTATCTGCTTGTTATAGAATAATATACGGTTGTAAAAGATAAGTCTTTATGCTTCTGATTAGGCACCTTTTTCTTTATAAACTGTGCGAAACGTGTTAAAGTTCCTCCTGCGTATTCGTAATTTGCAAGCGGTTTAAACTAATCTTTCGCTATAAAATACTCGTCCATTTATCTGTCGGTAAAGCAGTTCTAATTAGATTCGTTGAACTGAATTGCCTCATTTTTCCTTCTCTATTGGTGTCGATTTGTGAGCGTTGCAATCTAATCCCCTCTTCTTTTTTTTTTTAATCAGGAGCTTCTTTTCGGCAAGCAATTTCAATACGTTACGCTGAAAAGATTATTTCCGCGGATGAATTGCACAAGATCAGATATTGAAAACGGAGCTCGCATCAAGAGCGAAAACGCGACATTTCGTTACAATACCAATCATGCCAGCTACTCATCAAAAGTACTAGCAACTAATCAAGAGCAATCAAATCGGAAATTGAAATACAGATGAGTACATTATTAAGGAAGTGAATTCAATTATGCCGCTTACTTCGTCGCATATTTAGTCGGAGAAAATGGCTTCTAAGAGCGAATAATTACGAGACTTGAGCTATGAACAATTATTCAAGGGGAATTGTGCGCTGAATAACAGGATTTCCCCGCTGGAAATCACCGAATTATTGACACTTGTTCGTTGTTCGACATTTCAGTTTTCAAGATTCGTTCCAATCAATTTCGGCATTTAATTCGTACTCAAACAAAATAATCGCGTCAATTAATCAGTTATTTTAATGAGACTTCAGGGACGTTTATGACGACCACATGCAGAATCACCAAAATTTCGCAACGCATTTTACAATTTAAAACTCCTGCAGGAACCTATAGTTTATAAATATCCATTCAGCGGGTTGGCAGGAGAAAAATAATAATAACAAGCTCCAGAACTTCTCAAGACGAATTCCAGAAGATTCTTGAAAATGCGTCTTCATTTCTTGCAAGATATTGCCAGGACACAGATGCAATGAAACAAGAGTTTCAAAAGGAGTGCATAAAAATAGACACTTTCTTTTCACATTTGCTAATGCACGAGAACTTCAAAGTGGAAATCTCATTATCTCACCAGGTGAAATTGTCTCATGTAAGAAATTGCGTATTTTACTTGAAAGCCTACGTCACCGCGTTCCTTCAAAAATAAAGCAGGTTTAATATTAATTTCTCGGAAATAAGGCTTACGTCAAGGTGCGTTCAATTCATCCTCATTTGAATGCAGGATGGGCAATAAATATTGGTCAGATTCCTAATCGTCAAAATGGATAAAATAAGAATGCCGATAAAACTAAAAACAGTTTTTATTTGAATACCGACAAAGCTTTCTGCTTTAGAGCTTCAAGGATGCGGAATTAAAATAAGACGGCAGGCAGTTTTCGGGCCAATCCTGAATGGAAAAATGCTAAAACTGATTTAAAAATTGCGAAGAAACTGATTTAGCATTACACAAGGCTTTTTCATTTTTCAATCCCGCGCTCCCTTTCTTGGACTCGTTGAGAATAAATTACTGAGATTACAGTAGGTTACACCGGAAATCTTTTTTTAAAGCAAGCAAGCCACAACAACAGCAAGTGTAGCAGAATTTCGTTAAAACGAATATGCGAACACCATGAAGTTTTTTTTTTTTTTTAAGGTCCCTGCCCGAAAACCATATGTTGAAAAAAATTTTCTGTAACAAATGTTTCGTTACAACGAAGCTATTTTACTGGCCCCGCTGTAACGAGATGTCACTGTAAATTACAACGAATGAATAAAACGAAACCAGACACACACAAAAAATCCCTTTTTCCAGATGAATGCAAGGAAAAATTGAAATAAAATAACCACGGACAGACCTGGCAGTAGGGCGGGTTGACATGCACGCTCATGGCCGTCCGCAACTCGGACATGTTCGGGTTCTCCCTGGGCAGTCCGGCCACACACAGGCAGTTGGAGTCGAGCCCGGCGACAGTGACGATCCCGCAGTCGAGCCAGTCGCACGACAGTGTCGGTGTCACCAGACTCCGCGGCCGAGCCTGGACTTGGGCCTCTTCCCGACGCTTCGTGTCCAGCCACGTCTTGGCCGCGAACGCGCACTCCTTGTCCGCGTACTCCACGAACCCGTAACCCTTGCTCTCGCCTGCGGCCAACAACAAGGATTTCCGGGCCCCCCGACGACAGGAAGAAAATAGACAACGAGAGAAGAACGTTCAACCACGTACTGTACGTACACAGGAGCACACACACACAAACACGAACACACGCACACATACACACACACTCATACCCAGACACATGAAATGAACAAGGGTTTCTTCACCGCAGGAAACCAGACCCGTTATAGCTTCCGTGAGGCCAAGGAATTTCCTTTTTTTATTATGCAGTAAAATCTCGTTACGACAACTTCATCGGGATTCCAGAAAAGTTTGCAATTTTTTAATTTAATGAGAATAATTTTTTCATGATGAGATTTTCAAAAGGAATGACTGGCAAAAATGTTCACATTATACGTGCAAATAATCAATCAGATCTGCATTCTCAGATTTTTTTTATTATTGTTTCATAATCTGAGTGATTGTCTAAAAAAGTAGCTTTAATCATGCATTCCATCAGTTGCAGCAATATTTTTGTTCCGTGAAGATGATGTGAAAATCTGTGAATTCTGAAAGGAACCACTTGGAAGCTTGTGCTTCCATCCATTCCAAAATAACCAATCAGTCACATCTGGGATCAGAAATCTCAGACTGTGCCTGTCTTAGTCAAGAAATTTCCACCTGGAAAATTTAGTGAACATTCCTTTTTTTAAATTGTACTGGAATTCGGAAGTTTGTTTTAGCGAGATTGTTTTAACATGTACGAGGTACGCTTTCCGCCAGGACTTGAGAACAAGTTTGTTACATGTATACTGAAAAATTACTGTAATGGTATTCATTGTAACGAGATTTCACTGTATTTATTGCAGCAGCGAAGAATGGCGTGGAACAGCAGAGAAGGACAATTGCGAAGAGGATTTTCTACGACCCCGGCTCAAATCGGACTTCCCAACATGAAACAAAATAAGCTTGTAAAACATGTTTCGAAAGAAAAGCTCTGAAGAAGATAAAATTAGAGTTTTTGAAAGGCGAAACCCGAAGTTAAGTCGCGGAAAGACGCCACACTACGAACACGCTTATATATAACATTGATTATCCAAGTTTCGATATTACCCAAGCCCACATTTGAGATAAAATGAAATGGGTCATGTTCCTTCTCAATTTCGAATTCAAGGTCACTTGATTTGCGTTTCAATGAATATCCAACTTGACTGATGCACTTACAGACTCCGGACTTTTTACAATTACCACTTTGACATAAAAAATTATATTCCTGAAATGAAAATTATCTGCGATATTTTGTTCTACTCTCCAGACCATCGGATTATCCGGATTCTACTGTCCAACAAAATAAAAGTTGATCAACTCACCAGGTTTGGTTTATATTTAGTTCTATGGTCTACAATTCTCTCAAAACGCGCAACTTCGAAAATATTACTAAAAGGTTTGAAAAACTTTATTTTCCAATATTTATGAGACGATATTTCCAAATTTCATANATTATACGTGCAAATAATCAATCAGATCTGCATTCTCAGATTTTTTTTATTATTGTTTCATAATCTGAGTGATTGTCTAAAAAAGTAGCTTTAATCATGCATTCCATCAGTTGCAGCAATATTTTTGTTCCGTGAAGATGATGTGAAAATCTGTGAATTCTGAAAGGAACCACTTGGAAGCTTGTGCTTCCATCCATTCCAAAATAACCAATCAGTCACATCTGGGATCAGAAATCTCAGACTGTGCCTGTCTTAGTCAAGAAATTTCCACCTGGAAAATTTAGTGAACATTCCTTTTTTTAAATTGTACTGGAATTCGGAAGTTTGTTTTAGCGAGATTGTTTTAACATGTACGAGGTACGCTTTCCGCCAGGACTTGAGAACAAGTTTGTTACATGTATACTGAAAAATTACTGTAATGGTATTCATTGTAACGAGATTTCACTGTATTTATTGCAGCAGCGAAGAATGGCGTGGAACAGCAGAGAAGGACAATTGCGAAGAGGATTTTCTACGACCCCGGCTCAAATCGGACTTCCCAACATGAAACAAAATAAGCTTGTAAAACATGTTTCGAAAGAAAAGCTCTGAAGAAGATAAAATTAGAGTTTTTGAAAGGCGAAACCCGAAGTTAAGTCGCGGAAAGACGCCACACTACGAACACGCTTATATATAACATTGATTATCCAAGTTTCGATATTACCCAAGCCCACATTTGAGATAAAATGAAATGGGTCATGTTCCTTCTCAATTTCGAATTCAAGGTCACTTGATTTGCGTTTCAATGAATATCCAACTTGACTGATGCACTTACAGACTCCGGACTTTTTACAATTACCACTTTGACATAAAAAATTATATTCCTGAAATGAAAATTATCTGCGATATTTTGTTCTACTCTCCAGACCATCGGATTATCCGGATTCTACTGTCCAACAAAATAAAAGTTGATCAACTCACCAGGTTTGGTTTATATTTAGTTCTATGGTCTACAATTCTCTCAAAACGCGCAACTTCGAAAATATTACTAAAAGGTTTGAAAAACTTTATTTTCCAATATTTATGAGACGATATTTCCAAATTTCATAAGAGCCAATATATATCCTTTTGCTTTATTTTCTGATCAAACAAGACATTTTCTCGTAATACATAAAATCCTAACCGAAGCAGACGCTCAAGACGGACAGAGAAGCACATTTTTGCTTCAAAATCGTTCCGAAAGAACAGTATTCAAGAAGAATATAATATTGAGTTTCAACGAAGGAAAGACAGTAAATTTAAAATCCTAACCGAAGCAGACGCTCAAGACGGACAGAGAAGCACATTTTTGCTTCAAAATCGTTCCGAAAGAACAGTATTCAAGAAGAATATAATATTGAGTTTCAACGAAGGAAAGACAGTAAATTTCTATTCGAAAACGAAAGACAAAGTCGAGGAGCGACACCCATATTTATATAAAAATGCAATTAACCGTCTTTGATCTATCCTTGTTTTGGTCCATAATCCGCTCCCTCACTTCGCACTCCTCAAGCATCCCTGAACACAACGTGAAAGAAAAGAATGGGGGAAAAAAAGTTAGACGGTATTTCATTTATAAAAAAAACTTCCCTTGCTCAAATTTATTGATCTTTCTCTTTAAATAAAAATATTAAAAAAAAACCTAATCGATGCACATACTATCGCAGGCAATTGTGAGTTGAGGCTTATGATGCATGACACGCAATCATCTACAATTCTGGATGAGTTGGAACGAAACCCATGGAGCCCAAGCATATCGAGGTAGATAAAAGTCCGGCGCATGAAATGAAAATTATGGATTTCATCCACGCGATTATTGGTTCCAGTTTTCCTTAAATAATTCTCAGAAAATTTTGGGTATGGGCTTATGATAAAGATATTTGGTCGGAGTGACCTAGAAAATACTACAGTACCATAAAATCTAGATTACGCGGATTGAAACACATGGAGTCAAGGGAAAATAAGTTGCATAAAAATCCTGCCAAGGGCTAAATCCAAAAACAAAATTTTCCTGGTAACATGTATTATTCAAAAGTTTAAATTTCTATTCGAAAACGAAAGACAAAGTCGAGGAGCGACACCCATATTTATATAAAAATGCAATTAACCGTCTTTGATCTATCCTTGTTTTGGTCCATAATCCGCTCCCTCACTTCGCACTCCTCGCGCATCCCTGAACACAACGTGAAAGAAAAGAATGGGGGAAAAAAAGTTAGACGGTATTCCATTTATAAAAAAAAATTCCCTTGCTCAAATTTATTGATCTTCCTCTTTCTATAAAAATATTTAAACAAAAAAAAACGTAATCGATGCACATACTATCGCAGGCAATTGTGAGTTGAGGCTTATGATGCATGACACGCAATCATCGACAATTCTGGATGAGTTGGAACGAAACCCATGGAGCCCAAGCAAACCAAGGTAGATAAAAATCCGGCGCATGAAATGAAAATTATGAATTTCATTCACGCGATTATTGGTTCCAGTTTTCCTTGAATAATTCGCAGAAAATTTTGGGTATGGGCTCATGATAAAGATATTTGCTCGCAGTGACCTAGAAAATACATGGTATTTTAGATCTAATGCGCCTAACTTTGTGTACCTCAGTTCCCTTTTATTCAACGTATTTTTAGGACGGTTCCCGATTTAGGTTTTTGTTTTAAAAGGACCATTGTACATAATAAGTTTTCAACACCACGATGACCAAGCATGACCAAGCATGGTTATATTACCGACATATTTCTCGAAATTTAAAATTTTACGCATCATATGAATCACTGTTATATGCATAAATCACCCTCGCATTTCCCTGAAGAATATCTAATTTTCTAAAGGATTTGCAGATTACACTACGAACTTCAGAGTGGTATTTAGACTACTGTACGTAATTTATATTAATTATTTTACAACAAGCAGAGTTAGAGAAATGCATGTCAAACCGCCGGAAATTTGCCACATTTTTCAAAGTTAAAAATTTGCCGAAGAGACAGTTCGAAGAAATAAAGTGATTCACAAGAGCGGAAATACTTTTAAACACGAGACTAATAAAAAGTTTGCACAAATTAGCAATTCCGTTTATGTTCAATTCTTCCAAGCAATGAATCCCAATTTAATCACTCATGATTGAAAATTAACCTCCGACGATTTTATGCGTTCATAAAAAAACATCCAACAAAATTAAATCAGTTCGATCAAGTACCAGTAGCCAAGCGAGGATCCACTTGTTAATTACGCTTCGATCGATGCCACAACCGATCTTCCGAAACAGTACTTCTGCTGCCATTCCAGGACTGCACGAGTACATAATTTACAATAATCGCGGAGAGAGTCTGCGGATTGTCTGCGTGGAAACGGAAGAACAGGTGAATCATCGACAAGTATGGTGATCGTGTACTTAACCAGTACTCCGTTTCAGTGGCACACGTTCCAGTACTGACGCGAAAGTGTGCTTTGCTCATTGCTTTTCAAGTTCTGTTTTGTTCCGCTGCAGGGGTTTGAATTTTGACGGGATGCACGATTAAAATGACTATTCTAATGTGACAAATACGCACCTGAGTTCTGTTTTTGCAATTTCTATGGCATTTGCTCAAACAATTATGTATTTCTCACTCATTCAAACAAAATCAGAACATTGGTTCTACCAGAATTATTTTGCAACAAAGCCACACATTCTTGGATCACCTAAGCTACAAGTCACCATCAATAAATAGCATTTACTCATCAGTCACTAGTTAGCTATCAAAAACATGTAAATTAGAACTTTGAAAATCTGTGGTGAATTTAATTTAATCCTGCATGATTATAATTCTGCTGTACGATATTTTTAATTATGAAGCAGTGAAATTAAAATTTTAATTGACCAACTGAGTCATTGGATTTAAAGTATTGATTAGTTGTACTAGAATTAGATGTTCCATTACTCGTCTCAGAATTCACGCCTAATAAAAATCGAGTACGGCAAGAATTGAGTATGATCATATTTTTTCAAATCGAAAATCCAAATTTTCCAGGTCAATTTACAGAAAAAACATTTGAGAATAGTATAACCCTCAACGCGTTTATGCTCGGAAAATAAAACAACTATTTTCGGGAAAACCCATGGCAATTCAATAAATATGTACTAACATCATCTACTGTTCGGAATCTTTATCATCGTGAAAATTTTAAAACATAAATAAGATTTCATCGCATAACCGGCGTCGATGATTCCTGAAGACAACGTGGAATGCGAAATGAAGTTTGCCCCAAAGAATTCAAAAACTGGATTTTCCTTTTTATAAAAATAATAATAAATAAACTCGAGTCCCCTGCGTTCGGGGATCAAACTTTTTTCGAGTTTTTGATCAAGTTTCTTCAGACGACTTCTTGGACAACATGCATGAACTCACTGATTTCCGGAATAATTCATGAAATACAGTACTTTTCAGGGCTGTGTAGAATGAACGTAACAGCAAAAAGTTTCCCACATTGAAATCAAGACGACGATCACATTTTCAAGAATAACATCTCCCCGCTACCACCGGAAAAAAATATGTGCATTATGCGTTGTTTTCCTAAGCATTCAAAAAGTTGCCGGACGAAAAAAAAAAAACTCGATTGCATCCCTGTGCTCAGGGATCCAACTTTTTACGCCTTCATCAAGTCCCACCATGGGAATAATGCATCAAACATCGGTCTAGCGGGGATCCCCTCTATATAGAGTGCAGCGAAATCGGGTCACCCGGAACCCCTCTATCGTCTCTATAGGGTGGCATGTGATGTGGAGGTACGGGTACCCCCACGAGCTGTCGCAGCAGACGACTGAATATCCTCACCACAAGTGAACCCCCCCCCCCCCCCTCGTACTCGAGCGTTGAAAGCAAAGTAAACAATTGCCCCGTGCCACATTTACGCCCATCGTCTCACCAATGGGCAACAGCAGACAATTCAGTTCCGTCTACAGTACCATGATTAACTCTCTCCGCGCACCCCCGTGAAGACGAGGGGTTTCGCTGAAAGCCTTCACCCGGCGATACGCTTTGGCATCACTTGACCTCATCTGGATATATGGGGGATAACACTGACAAAGGGGCCCACACCACCAGCAGCAGCAGCCTAACGATGCCATCTACGGAAGTGAGGAAACCTTTGGGGGGAAAATGCGTTTATTTCTGAGGGCTTGCTGCTGTTTTTGCTGCTCCGGACACGCGTTTTTTTTCGTGAGCAAACAGCTGGGAGGCGTCCCAAAAAAAATAAAACACACGGTGTTCTCCAGAATAGCGTGTCTACAACAGCAATTGGCGCGAAGCAGTTTCCAAGATATCAAGCAAAACAATAAAAAATCGTGCGAAATTATTTCGCATGTCTGACACCGTAAATCCGGTTTGGTAAAATCACCTCATAAATTCCATTGGAAATTGTACACACATTGATCCTTCCGAACACTGTTTGTCGCTGTTGCAGAAAATCAAACCTCTCTATAAAATATACAATTTTCGAACAAAGAAACCAGAGCTCAGCCCCACTGGCTCCAAACCTAAAATTAAATGACAAGAGAGGAAAGAACTGGACACCAAAAGAGTTCACAGTGTAGTATATACTATACTTGTTATGATTTTTAGAAAAAAACTGCAGTTCCAGTTTGAAACGAGTCCAAATAAAGCGAATGAAAATAAAAAGAGGAACTTGAGAATCCCAAAAATACCATCGAAGAAATTCAGGGATACTTCATTGAGCAGGACAACTTCTCGTTAGATATTTTGTGTGTGTAGGACTTACACTAATAAAATAATCTGCCGCATTCAATGACTAGGTGTCATTTATAAATAAAAACTAGGGCTTTTAGACGTGCTGCTCTGTCTTCTACTGATTTTTCGTTTAGTTTTTACGGACACGCGATGTTTTTAAATGCGCAGCTTTCGAACACGCTAAATTGTACCAGCACCGTCATTTCTGTCCAGATTTCTTGAGGTATGCGTAAGGGATCTCAAAAGGTAGCGTTTCAAAGGAGTCTACGCTTCACTCGAGCTCGAAGTACGTGACAGCTGCCTGAACTGTACCAAGTTTGGCTGTAGAGCCGGAGTCCCATGGGCCACATCGGGTACGGAGATGGACCTCGTCAGGATTAACTCGGAGTGGAAGAAGCTTTTCACCACGGAAAGCCAAAAGAAACGAAGACTGGCCAGTTATAGAGGTTAAGTCTTGAAACTTCTTCTTCATTTGGGGATCCCAAAACTTTCAGCATTTCCAGTAATTTAGTCTCGTTTTTTGTTTTCTCTCAACATTTGTTCTTTTCTTGAAGCAGAGTAACCGGTAACCCAGAAAATGAGATGCAATTCATCTCAAAAGGGATCTTTCAAATATGCGACATTAAAATAAGTTCGATCATTCCTTCTTCATGCATAAGGATGATTGTACAATACTCCCAAAAAAAAGCTCAAGTGATGAGAAAACACCTTCTGGAAATTGTGGGACTTTTCGAGAATACGACCCATCCGGAAACAATAATGGCATACTTTTTTTTATTGTAAAACATGATCGCATGTTACCAGATCTGATGTTATTACAGTACTTTAACCACGATAAGCGATCCTGGAATAATCCTGAACAAAACGTGTTTTCAATACGATGATTGATAGTCGGTCAACAGAGGAAATAGAGCGTTGATGAATCCTGATTTCGAATTGCTCCGCTTTTCTCAAAAATGAAAAGAGCCCACTTATTTCAAAAATTACGAAGACATTTCTCTCAAATGGTCATATAAATTACTACCATTATCATCTATACACTGTAATGGACGAAAATAAGAAACTCTCATTGATAAAATTGACTTATTGGAATCATTTTCTATACTTGAGCCTAGATTTAAATTCCTAGATATTCGAGTTTCGTGCATTCGTAATAAAATCGGTCAATGTGTTGAAGGTCCACCGTACGTAAATACTGTTTGCCTTTAATTTCCGCAATTCAGGGAGTTTGAAATCCAACGCTAAACTCTTTTTTTTTCGATTACAGACCTAAAGGAAACTATGAAACAATCCGGTTTATTGTGGAACATTTTCGGCGAAAACTGAGCCTTGAACCCATGACAGTCCATGCCCAGGAACCAAATCGCAGAGACTGAAATCGCTTAAACGGAAAATTCCCCGAAATGTCCGTCCAGTCAAAAGCATACTTAGATTTTTCTAGCAAAAATTATTCCACCAAAAAAGGTCACGTAAGAGGGCCTAAAATGCAGTACTTCTAGTGATGCAGAGGAATTCCCAGTTTTATAATTCAGGTACTGCATTTAAAAAGTCAAAATTCGCAACCAAAAGGCGTTAGCTCTTCACACGACACTCTCTCGATTTCCGTGAAAATTAAGACCACGATCGATGCTCACTTCGAGTTTTTAAAAAACACCTTCAAAATTTTTATTTCAGAACACTTTCAATAACTCTAGACGTCGCATATTCGAAGCATTCGCGCAGCGGAACAGTCTAAATACTGGTGCATCAAATCTTGAATGAAACAGACGCGAAAGTGCATTAAAGTTGACTACACAGTTCAAGTTCATGACACTTTAAAAGCGTATTTTTCAAAATATAAAGAAGCAAATAATTGCATTAAATTACTTCAACATACCCAAAACTTGTACAGTATCTGGAAGCAAAGCCAACCTTTACGCTTTTGTGGACACGCAGTACAGGACCTAAAAGCAGATGAAACTTCTACTGATTCCAAGTGAGATGAAACTGACCTTTTACCGACAATTAAATTTTAATTCCAATCAATTTTCGAGTGAAATTTTCCCGAAGTGAATCAATAAGCCATCGTAATGAAAACTGACTCAGCCATCGTAATGAAAACTGACTCAGCCATCGTAATGAAAACTGACTCAGCCATCGTAATGAAACGCTTCGGCAAAAATATGTTCACGATTAAAAATTCTTCACCGCACACTGAAATCACACGTCCTTCTAATCGACTGTGTCTCTCTCTCTCTTCACAAAAACACCGGAGAAAAATGGAACTTATAGGCGTATAAACATATTTTTGAATATTCGGCCAAGCAATTAATACAAAGCCCGAAAAGTTATTTGCGTGCAGAATATTGCTGCGATTTTACGGAGTCCATTCGCACGTTTTCATTTGTACAAGTGGACTCTCTCTGCAACGAAATTCAAGGGACCATAAAAAACCCCTGTCGTAAAGGGAACTCCGTCGTAAAGAACCCCTATAATATGGGGAGAAAACCCTAAAACCCTACAAAATGGGGATATCGTTCGAGAGAGCCCAACTGTAAAGAAAAACCTCCTACTGTTCGATTACATTCCCGTACAAATTTATTTCGACGGACTACCATGAAAAAGATGCATTTATTTCGCAGGAACAGAAAAATATACGGATTTTTTATTGCTTCGATGATATCAAAAATGATGAGAAAACCGTATAGCTCTTGTACAGTATTTCGAATTACGGTATTCGGAGGCCAACAAAGATGAGGGCAACCGGAACAGCTAGTCTGCATTCTTGTCATACAGCAATGCAGTCAGTAAAAATAATTAAATAAATACCTAATATGAAAAGAAATATCTCAGTCGAACCTCTTTAAGTCGAATTTCAAGGGAGCAGAAAAAACTTTCAACTTAGGCCGTAGGTTTCGAGTTATAGAGCTTTTAAGTGAGGAAAAAAGAATTTTTGTTGTGGGAAACAGAAAAATTGCTGAAAATTGTAAATGGTGATATTCTGGGCCCTAAAGTGCTTCTTGAATGCGTTGAAAGAATGCTGAACGTGAATGCAAGGTTTCATTTGCTCAATTAGTCCATCACTTCCTTTCAAAACATCAATTTACTTTTTTATTGCTTTCCTCTTTCCTGTGTCGAGGAAAAAAATAGCCAAAGAGCCTCCAGAAAATTCTAGTTACGGAGGTTTTCTAAAAGAAAAGCCTTCGAATTAGAGAGGTTTTTGTTTCTGAAGGAATTCAGGTGTGGGGACTTGAACATTATATTTAAAGAGGCATTCGAATTAGGGAGTTTCAAGTTATCGAGGTTCAACAGTACATAATAACAGTACTGTATAGCGAAGATGAACAAGATTTAAAAATAAAATGAAGAAGAACGCAACAACAAAAAAAACAACGAGCTGTTGACACTGACCTGTGCGTCGACTGCGCATGATGAAGGCTCGCTTGACGGGTCCGAACTTGTCGACGAGCCCTCGGAACTCGGACTCGCCGAGCGACAAAGGCAGGTGGGCAACGCAGAGCAGGGCATCCGTCGGACTCAGACTGAGTGCCAGGATCGTCGGGGATTGGTGCTCGCGGCCCAGGTTCGTGTTGACGGTGCGGGGGTGGAACCCGTCGAGGCCCGCGGGGTCCGTGACGAACACCCGCGCCGTCGCGTTGCTCAACCCGCACACTGCTGTTCGGCGCCCGCCGGCATTCGGCGTGATCACAATCGACTTGATTGGGGGGATTTCCGACGTCGGCACAGCAAATGTTCGCACTTCCTACGTATTCCAAAAAAAAAAGAAAAAGAAGAAGAAGCGTTTTAAAAATCGCCATAAATTCATTACTTCATATCTTTAGATATATATTTTAATTTTCGCGTGGAACTTGGAATTTTTCAAGTGCTGGCCGCAATTGAATTTTAGAGGAGATTTCCAGGAAAATGAGATCGCGCTGATTGAATCCCACACGATATTCCACTGGATCCGAAATCTAGGTACTGAACGTAATACATTAATCTCTATTGAAAGTGAATGGATTCGTAATCCCTACGTTTTACTTCCGGATGGGGGAGATAAAATCGAAGCCAGAGTTTTCGACCGAATTCGTTTCCTGTCAATTGGCAGTTCATTCAGAGGTTTCTTCGCATTACGAACAATGAGAGACACATTGTTCTGATCGAATTTCTAGGAATATGGGATTAAAACCAAGATGATATTACACGAAATCCGAAATCTAGTTGATTAATTCATTAATCTCTAGAATGTTGATTGATTCGTAATCCTACACTTTACTCCCGAACGCAGGAGATGAAATCGGAGCCAGAGTTTTCCACTGAAATCCTTTCTTGCCGATGGGCAGTTTATTAAAAAAATGTCTTTGAATTTAAAACAATGGTATTTACATTATTCTAATCTAATTTCTCGGAAAATGAGATCGTGCTGATTGAACCCAAGCTGATATTCCACTGATTCCGGAATCCAGAAACAGTACGGTACGCAATTAATTTCTTGAAGGCTGATCAATTCGCAATTCTGTGTTTTACTTCCGAATGCAGGAGAGGAAATCCCAGAATTTTCCACCGAACTCGTTCCTTGTGAATGGGCACTTCATTCAAAAGTTTCTTTGCATTTCTATAAATGAGAGATACGCGATTCTGATCTAATGCATCAGTATTTAAATGCAGTCTGTGGGATTCGTTTCTATTTGTATTTATTTATTTATTTTTGTCGTTCGTCGCGATTTTAATCAGGTGTAACACACATGCAAGAAATAGAGAGAGAAACGCTGTGATGTAGTTCAGTGACTTCAAACATGGAGGATTGTAAGATTCCCATTGCATCTTGATAGATTATCTTTTAGTCCCATAAGTAACCGTTCGAAACCCACGAATCTAGCTCAGTTTTCCATTATAAGAAGGTAGGCGGAGTAAGTTTTACATTTTTTCGTATTATAAAAGGGCTATATAAACCTCACCCAAAGTACGGGCAGTACTTTTTGATGGGAAAACCGCACAAGTGAAAAAAAATTGATGTTTTTCTCGCGATAATGAGGCCCGTAAAAAGATAAACCCTGTATTTTTTTATAATGCTCCACATTTATATAAATGGACTCTCTCTCTCTCTCTCTCTCAGTCTCTCTCTCTACAACTATCTAGTTTTCACCTATTTTCTCGGTATAATTAAATTTTTGGCCCCCTACGGTTTTCTCGCCATGTTAAATTTGTTCTCCACAACGATTTTTTCTGGTCCCTTGAGTCTCGTAGCAAAGAGAATCCACCTGTGTTTTGCAGCTGAAATTTTGAATCGTTTTTTGACGAAAGCACTTTTTTCGCGTGAAACTGCGGTGCACCCTTTCTGCGAATATTTTGAACATACGTCACATCCGAATTTTTACAGGGCTAATTCTTGCGTAAAAATAATGACGCTGATTGAACCCAAGACGAGATTTAGGTGACTCCGAAAATCCATCTATTTAATTAGTACCTCTAACATTGATTGATTCTGTAAAAATTCTGAATGCACGAGCTGTAATTTGAAAGTTTTCGACCCAACTCGTTCTGTGTCAATACGTAGTTAATTTAAAAGACATTTCGAGTCGTACAGAAAATCAATTCATAAATGTTTTTCAGCAGTCAGTAGCCTTTTCAACCAATCATTTCATTCCTCCCAGACGCCGTAAAATGTGCCTTTGATAAACAGGAGTGAACAGCAAGAAATGTGATCCATTTCACTTGATATTTTTTCACAATGTATTCCATTCTCTTTGCATTTTGTAGAATCTCTTGAGTAGACTTGAATACTGTACTGCAATTTCCTGTGCACTGAGTGCAGCGAAGATCTCGCAGGAAATCATGCAAAACACCACTTTTCAGGTCTAAAGTTCAGAACTTTTCAGATTGATTTGAGCAAAACGATAAGCTCAGAAACGTCTCTCTGTTTATCGTTTTGCTATTTTTTCTTGTAGCTCACAATGCTTGCAAAATAGGATTACACGCGAAAATACAGCACTATCTTATATCAGTTCCTCTTGGAAAAATTCATCTCATGTGCGTCGCAATTAATTCAGTCGGGAAAATGCTTGATAATGACGCGGCTCATTCCTGGAACAAATTGTTAGAACTCTTTCAAAATATTACAGTAATGTCCCAAACGGTTCAAAACATAATCGTTGAAAGAGTACTTACGTACTGTATTCCGATCGTGAAATTGAACAGTACATGAGATCTCCTACAAATGCCTCGTCTTCGACCATTTTCACTCAACGAATATTTTCTTTCGAATTGTAGCGTCTTATTCCTTTTAGATGATAGCTATTCTTCGAGGATGACTAGAAAATACACGTCTCAGGCAACATTTACAAGTTCTAATTATCTAGTATGATTCATCGTTAGATCCATTATTAAAAAAAAATTGGAACGGTGATCTGAAGTGCCAAGTGTTCATTACTTATTGCAAAGAGTGGCGGTTAAACGGGCAGAATTTTAGCTGGTCCCTTTAACGTTCAAAAGTCAGAATCTATATTCAACTTCCGTAAAACTGCACTAACTAGCTTGAATGTTGAGTGGCAATAAGAGGCACGAAGTTCAAGGCGAGGAATCAGGTTTGCTGCACTTGCTTGATGAATTCTTTTCAAGTGGAGAGGTTTTCTTCGTTTTCTTGACGCGTGGGAGAGATCCAATCTCCAGTTCATTATCATTCGCCCAAACGTGACTTAAACGGTCACGCGAAAAAAAGGAAACCCTGCACGAGCTTCCACCCCGAAATTGTTTCAAATGCTGCCATACGAAATTTAGAGGGGAAAAAATTGAACTATCTGGTTGATTAAAAATCAGGGCGCAGCTGCAAGGGGGAGAACACAACCAGGAATTCGGGAATTTTTTTTTTTAACCCCACATCAAGAAGAAATCCCTTTTATGGAAGATGCCATCACATGCGTATGTTTCCCCTTTCATCGATCTCTGCCTCGGTTCTCCACTCGTCTTCTTGTCAGGGAGCAGCTGCAATTTCCAACGTAATCTTCCTTTATGCCTTTTCAGTCACATTGTTTGAAAACTTTCAGCTGTGACTTTTTTTTCTCTCTTGGAAAAAGGTTATCACTACGAAACAGCATGCATTTTTTGCTGTGACAAGGGCTTTTCAGGCTACTGTAATTTCGAGGTACGATACTTGCAGAATATTGAGATCAAAATAAGGAGAGTTTTCAACATCCGAAGAAATCGCAGACCCGCACGTTATGTCGAAAGGCTGGTTAAAGATGATTTGTTAGACTTGGAAAGGTTAACTCACAAGTTACGTCAGTCTTTTGCTCCTATTCTCTGAGTCTTCACTGAATGAATGCACTTTTTAACCAGCAGTGTTTTATTATTTCGTGGCTAATGTTCCAATCGGTTAAAATGGAGATGAGGCAGATAAAAATGTATACCCCGTTTATTGCTGTAAGCAAATTTTTTCATGTTTTTTGCAGGCAGTATAATTCGATGAGTCTAAGTTGAATGGTTTTTCAAGCACAGTTATGGCGTTGGAAAATTTCTTGGCGAGAATGTCTCAGAGCAGAAAATATTTTTCCTATGAGAAGAAAGTGTTACGATCGCAGAAAATCGTGTAGCAATGTTAATGCCGCCTTAAATTGCAACTTGAGAAGATTGCAATCGAAGGACACCCTTAGAAAATAAGTAGTCTTGATAAGTAGTTCACCAGTATTTGAAGGATTTGATAAAAAAACACAATCTCCCGAAGAAATTTATTTGAAAGGACAGGCAAAATTGTCAAAACCCATCCCTCAAGCGATTACAAAATTGTTGCCAATATATTTTCAAAAACATTCGACTGAATTTGATTCATACCCTCGGAAAGAACTCCGAAAAACAAGCTGAACACAGTATCTTTTCACCAAGAGCCTCGTTGAGAATTTTGACACTAATCTCAATGTTTACATCCTTCTGAAAAAGCTGGAAAATTTTTAGAAAGCAGCCCAACCCAGCAAAAATGTTATCCAACATTACACCACGAAAGGCGAATTTTCCCAACAATTTATGCTCGTCAGGCCTGTTTTCAGAAACAGGCCCTCACAGCGATTCCTTCCGAAGTCTTGTGTACATTTGTTCCAGAAGGTCAAGGAAAATATGGGGCACGATAGTCTGAGTGTTTTTACAGGATAAAATCGGGGCTGGAACATTACACCGTATCCCCGGCAAACGTAAAATCTTTTGAGGAAGCCAAGAAAGGAAAAAATATAATCAAGTTCGGGTCCCCCAGGGGATTTCCATGTGTGACGGAGTGAATGATTGCAAAGAGAGACAGGCTGGAAAAAAAAGTGTTCTATGCGTGTGTGTGTGTGTGTGTGTGCGTGAGCTGGCAGTTTGGGTTCAAGGACCAGAAAAGCCTGCTGAGAGCCTGTTGCTTTGCCTGGTTGGCTCCTCGACCAAGGACGTTCAGGCAACGACCTCTTCAGTGAGAATCCTGGGAAAGACCCGTCGTCACGATTATTATTTTTTTTTTCCTCGGGCTACACTTGGAGAAGCCTCTGAATTCATCATCAAACATTTACCCGGCTTTTAGTGCGACAGAAACCCTATACGAAACGATGCACCATAAGCGAAGCCCGGGAAATATTCGACAGTTCGGCGAGCGCAAATGCGAGACAATGAAAATAAACACTTGTAGAGGTGAAATGGAAGCTCGACAGAATCGTTTTCGCACAGCAGCGGGATTGGCAGAAGGTTTCGACAGAATCTATGGAGGTTTGCAGGGCTGTGTTCGAAGGGTGAGCATGGAATCCCTGTGAGTTGAAATATTCGAGGTCAATTCAAAACAAATGTTGGAAGAGTACAACATTTGCATTGTCCTAAGCAGGGGAATAGTTTCTCATGCAATTTTCATCCGATATCCACAAAACAGATATTCAGGTGACGAATTGGAGAAACATTGCAGAGTAAGAGTCTATTTCATGATCGGCGAAAAAAAAATCTGATCACATGTCATTTTAGCTATAAAAAAAAATTACCAGGATAACGCAGACACTTTAAGAAATGCCCCCAGGCTTCAAATGCGCCGATTTTTAAATTCATTTCAGAAAAGAAACTGATGCGTGACATTCCCTCGTCATTTTCAAATTAAACATAATTTTAAAGCGAAAAATAGTTCAATTACCAACAGATTGTCTCGAAGGCAGTTCCATAACATTCTTGTTCAAGAATTTTTTGGCGAATTATGTTTTACGAATGATCACAATTAAAAAGTTTAGAACCATCTCAAAAATCTACGCAAAAAAGTTATGGAAAAAATTATAATTTAGAAACCCCCTTTACATCGTCCTTGTGATCAATGGATAGATTCTTCGGTCAACAAGATGAACATCCGTGAAATGATACGTTTTTGTCGGTTTATTTTTTTATTTTAATATACTGAAAACTGAATCTTTTCTCAGTTCAGCCTTTTCTTGAAGTTGCCGCATTGTTTTTTTTTAATAAGCGCTTCGAAGAAAGTAAATGCAATCGTCTATCAAAAAGAAGATAGTTTGGTAGCTTGATAAATTGTTCTTCACTACTCAATGATGACGAATCACTGCGTTTAATACACTCTAACCTTTCTCGAATTTCAAAGGAACAGCAAAAAACATTTGACTCAGGGAGGTTTTGGGCGACAGAGTTCTGAGTTACAGAACCAAACATTTTTTGTCGTGGAAAACATAGAGGCATTGCAGGGAATTGTGAATGGTGATATTCTCAGCCTTGAATTGCTTATTGAATGAGTTGACAGGATGCTGAACTCGGAGGCAGGGATTCATTTGCCCAATTTAATCTTTCAATTCATTTCAAAACGCGTAAAATTCAATTTTTCACTTTTCTCTTTCCTGTGTCAAGAAAAAAACAGCCAGAAGGCCTTAAAAAATTCGACTTACCGAGCTTCAAGAGGAGAAGCCTTCGAGTTAGGGAGGTTTTTTAATGCATTGTTTCCAAGGTAATTCAGACCAGGTCTTGTTGGAAAAAAAATCGACTTATGGAGGTACGACTGTCCTGTATCACCCAATAAACTTTACAGCAGAGTAACCCGCACGCGGTTATTCACCCAGTGCTATTCGTCGTAAAATTTCGTCTCAGCAGTCGTAATTCAAGATTTATTTTTTTTCGGCGGGTTGACACGTAGCCTGCTAAATTTAAATTCAGCGCACGAGTGCACGCTGAGCATCAGTCAAAAACTAAGCGCCGTTTGAAAGTCTGGCTGTTCTCGGAACCAGAGCCTGGAAATGACGACTGCAGGAGATCCCAGAAGAACGGCAAACCAGGATGAAAACGGGTCTCGTTCAACGAAGGATGACACTAATGCGCTCGCGAAAATTGGCACACACACGTCACCGACTGCGTGTTCCATTAGCAGCGGATAATAAACAGCACCGCGGGTGGTAGAAAACCGTGCTTTTTTTTCCCCCTTATTTCCCGGCTCGCTTTCAGCAAAATCACGCAACTCCTGGCTGCTGCCACGTTCCGCGCAGATTACTGGCAATCATCTTCGCAAATGCTCGCTGCATTTCCTCGCGGAAAAATGAGAACAGGATTCATCTCGTATTTCTGCAGCCCTTTTTCTTCTTCTGCTCAAAAACAAATAAAAAGCTAATCAACGAGCATTCTCCTGTGAGCGGTGCTGTTTATTATAGGTGTGCTGAAGAGACTATTCCAGCAAATGATCAGTATAAACGGAGGGTTGCCTTCATCCGACCAAAGCCAAGCATTTGGCAAATCAAGAAATCTTCCACGTGGAACAAAAATCACCGACACTTTCTTCTTCCACTTCTGCACATGAAATGCTGACATAAAACAAAAAATAACGAAGCATTTCTCAAGAAAACTGAATCCAAGCACGGAAAACGACAGAGGGCAAAATTCCTTTATTAGGCTCTTAGATATTAGCACATTCCAGGAAGATGGGACATCATTTGTAACTCACCACCAGTTTAAAATGAAAACATCAACGAAATAGTAACAATCATTCCATGAATGATCATGAGAAATCAACAGAGGAATGCTGCGAATCGATTCTCAAGTAACTTCACCGAAGAAGTTTTTGAGTGAAAATTCACGAAGAACGCACAACACATGAACTGACTATTTTTAATTCAAGCGAAAACTTCAAGATGCATTTTACAGTGGGCATATATGATTTCTCGCATCTTCGTTTTAATCTTAGAGTTAAATTAATGTAAAGAAGAGTGGCAGCTCTTGGGCCTCAAGAATATCCTTCAATTTCCGCGATGAAATCAAGATTTCTGTCGCTACTTTTTAAGGCTGCGTTAGATTCTGTGGTTAAAATCAAAGAAAATGTAAGTTCAACAGTCTGAACTACTACTGCAAGTCATTCGCATTTTTTATTTCGTATGTTTTAAGGCTATGCTCCGTCATTGTTATCTGCTTATTCAGACATCAATGGAAATGTCCAGAAAAATTCCACGAAAATGACAGGAAATGGATGAATTGTCTTCATTCAAAGTGAATTCGCATAAAATAAAATGCAAAAATTCATAACTCATGAACATAATGGTGCATTTTGCTTCGTATACATTTCTGATTCATCAGAAAACGAAAGTTAATCACTGTAGCACGAAAAAACCCTCTGAATAGTTCTCGAAACCATTTATTGTAAGGTTGCAGGTCATCACACAAGTTTGGCAACCTCAACCACACACAAAACTGTTGCTTGAACGAAAAACGTTCGACATTTCTGAACGATATTCACAGCTTGTTTTTTTTTTTTTTTTTGCTGTTCGTTTGAGTTTCAACTTACAATGCGCATTCACGACGTCGCTGTTTTTTATTCAACATCTGATTAAAGGAAGGGACGTATAAGAAGAAAGTGAATTTTCCACATAAGGCTAGCTTTCATTTCAGATACGAAGACAATAAATCATTGGCGAACGTTTTATGCAAACGCAGCTAGTTTGAGAGTACTGTACTCTATATAGTCTATATCGTCGCGTCCTTTGTCAGGTCACGAGAAAAAAACCAATTAAAACATGCCTACTAATCAAAAAATGCGCCACCATTTTTGTTGGCGGTGACAAGTTGTTTTTACGCGTTTAAAAACACCATTCCATGGAGCTTCCGTCGGGCTTCTCGACACGGGTTTTGACAAATGCTGCTACAGTATATGGTGAGGCGTGATTGATGGATGGACTCACGCGTTCCACTTATCTGATTCTCAGGAAAATAGATTGAGGACGATCAACAAAATTCTGGAGGAAAAAAATCGGGTTTTGACAAATGCTGCTACAGTATATGGTGAGGCGTGATTGATGGATGGACTCACGCGTTCCACTTATCTGATTCTCAGGAAAATAGATTGAGGACGATCAACAAAATTCTGGAGGAAAAAAAAAGTTTTCTCCAAGTACGCGATGTTCTGTCACCGTTTTTCTCTCGTCTCGTCTGACAGCCGGTCAAATTTTTTCCTTGAAATCCCGACGAGAGAAAAAGCTGTTCAAAGTGAAATGCGTGAAATACTCCGGTTCTTCTTTCTATGACCCAAAAAAAAAAAAAGGCTTACGAAGTCGGCCTGATGGAAATTGTCGCTGAACGGAAATGGATTCCAGCTTGTCAGCTGGTCAATGTCTTCAACATTTAGTTTCTCTGATTTTTAAAATGCTGAAAAAAACGTCATCGATCAGAGAGTAAGAACAATTGGCGCACAAGGCGGGGTTAAATAATTTCTGCACATTTTATCAGGCTACAGTATTTTTAATTTTGCGGCAGTATTCGAACTACACTGCTCACGTTTAGCTCGTTTAATTTGCTCTTATCCATATATATATATAAATTCATCGCTTCATCGACAAAGAATTTACGAATTCATCGTCTAATTTTTTTCTAGTCTACATGATAGGAGACACAAAAGCAGGGGGGGGGGGGGGATATTGAGAAAACTTGTTTATTCATCACACCTGAATGTCAATTGTTGGAGAAAAAGTGGTCAGAATTCGCAATTCCCGAAATGAAATCATGAAATTTTTGAAGAAAACGTTCGGCATCATGGAAAAAATTGATATAACGAATTACGACAAAAAAGAAAACATGTTTAAATATTCATGAAGATCACAAACTGCATCCAAGAAGAGTCGCAGTGTCGACCAGAACAACAAGTTTAACAATGACGGTGAAAAAATTGTGTTTTCGCACTCGTCCATTGTCATTGTTTTTCCAGCACGAAGCTCAAAAGCTGGGTGAAAAACAAGCAATTCTGAAGAAAAACGTTCCGGAATGCGTGCTTTTATTTTTGATTAAAAAACGGATTTCTCACAGAATTTTTTGCGACTTCTTCCATGCCGTTAAAAGTTTTATCCTCCTCAAGTTCGAGCTTCGTCAAAGTAATTCACACTATTTTCCAAAAGGTGAGATTTTTTTTTGCGACTTAAGTAGACGGAAATAAGGCGTAACCGGGTATAGTTTTTACATTTTTCAATAAGGGTCGAAAAGTGGCTATAAGTTTGGAAGTGAGTAAGTGGAGAGACGTTGGCGAGAGTTATACTGGTGGAAGAGAAGCAGAGGAATCAAGAAATACAACCATATCTACATTCGAGAACGTTTGAAGAGTTGCAAGGAAAACATTTTTACATTACCACAAGATCTGTCGGGATCCTTGACAAAATAATACTAGTCGAAAAATGTTTCCACGTATTTTTTTTCAAATGTTTTGATGATCTCAGGAACCGGTCATTCAACCACAAAGGCGTGATCAAACTCGCACGAGTCGAGATGAAAATCTGAGTCTCGGAAGTGCGTATCACGCAGACAATGAAACATCAAATACAGATCATTGCGGTACTAGTCACATCCTGATTATTTTTCTCTTTCGCATTTTTAATTTAATCGCAAGACGTCGAAAACAGAGTGACCGGTCGTCGGTCGTTGCACTGCGACGATCATGCAACACAAAAAACGAAGGTCATTCGCCCCACTACTCGACGCCCAAGCAAGGAATATCCTCCGGTTGTTTTTTTTCTTTATTCCTTTGGTTATATCGCAAGAAGAAGAGTAATGCTCGATTCCGTAGTCCTCATCGTAAGTGGGCTTCAAAGTGTTCTCCAAATTTGGAAACTGGTCCCTGACCGCCCAGTTATAAACGACTGATATGGTAAACGCCTTTATGCAACTCGTTCCTTGACCCCTGTCGAGAACCGTTCATCGACAGACGATCACATGATGTGAGACAAAATTGAAATAAAAAAACCAAAAGTTTTCGTCAAGACCGGTTCGCATTTGCGAAAATTTTGACGTGAAATCGAAAAAAATACGTTCGGAAAATTCTGTATTTTTTTTATCTCGCGAAAACTTTCTAATCTGTTTGAAATGTTGCGCCAAAGTCAGCAGAACTAATCATGCCAAAGGCTTTTCAAAGAATCTCAATCGAATTTCGCTTTTTTCTGTGTGCAGGAATTCGAAAAACCAATTTTCTTTATAATCTTGTTCGGAACTGTTTCTTCGTACCGTGAAAGATTCAATCCGGCATCCAGTTGTTTAGGAAGTGCTGCAATTAAATGTTTGTTTCCCTGGAGATTTTCTTCGATTTCAATTTAAATTTCCAGCTGTCGATAATTTAATCGTCTCGCTTTTCAGTTCTTACAATAATGAAATTACGACAAACGGTTCAATGCTCAAAGGAGAAAGGCGGTTTACCTCGTAATTTTTTGTGCATGCAAAAACCGTTTTGAATATCACGAGAATTGAGAATAAAAGCTTATTTTTGTAACTTTCAATTCCATCTACAGGCTGCACCGCATTAATCACTTCCTGGCCAGTTTATTTAAAGCTCTGGTTTTCTTTTTTCGGTTGATTTTCCCCATCTTCTTCGCCAAAATGAAAATAAGAAAGAGTGGCGAGACGTTGGAACAGAACTGACGCTGACCAAGCCAGCTACTGTCGAAACTCTCCGAGTTCAATTTCAAGGGACCAACAAAAAAATTCGAGTCAGTAAAGCAAGTATTTTTGTTGTTGGAAACGTAGAAGCATTGCAGGAAATTGTAAATGGTGATATTCTGGGTCTTAAATTGCTTTTTAAATGAGTTTACAGGATGCTGAAATTGGAGGCAAGGGTTCATTTGCCCAATTTGACTTTCACTTCCTCTTCATGCATCAAGTTAATGTTTTGATCGCTCTTCTCTTTCCTGAGTGAAAAAAATAGCCAAAAAGCCTCAGAAAAGTCTAGTTACTGCGATTTGAGAGAAACAGCCTTTGAGTTGGAGCGGATTTTGTAATGTGTGGTTTCTAAGGGACTTTAAATGCGGACTTGAAAAAATAATTCGACTCAGGGAGCTTCGAGTTATCGAGGCTCAACTGTAGTAACTTCAAGCTCGCGAATAGTAGCAATACTGTATTATGATACAA